GTATCATTAAAAATGAAAGAAACCTGAAAAGGAATACGGCAAGACTGCAGTGGAAATCTCCCAATGCCAAATAAGTGTTAACATTAATTCTGATTTAGGACTTTCCCTTTTCCCCTTAAAAAAAGAGAAGAGATAGGGATTAAAGCACTGCATCAAAAATCTCTACTAATTTTATTCTAAATTTATTATAATTTTAATTTGTAGCCTTAGAAGGCAGAAAGAAGAGGACAAGAGTTGCCAATGAAGTTGTAGATCATAGAAAAATTAATGAAAGTATCAGTGCTGCACGGGAAAGATGACAGACTGTTTTTGTGACAAAGCTTTGACCAGTTTGAAAGGTATGATGTGAGTATGTTCAGTAACAACTGATATCATTTTCCTAACTGTGCATGTGTGTGCTACATGGTAGATAAAGGATTTGCATAAGAAGCAGGAAGAGTTTACACATGCAAAAGGTTCACTGAATTTGCGTCATACATTTTCAGCAGCTCTCATCAAACAGAAGCAAGTATGATTTCAAGAACTGTGAAACAAAGAATTGGGAGCTCTTTAGGTAAATTAGCTCTGGGGCACGACGAAAACCAACTAGTAAAATCCAGAGTTTGCCCGTCGCTTTAGTGCTGAAGGAGCTAGGCTCCTGCCTGCAGATGACCAAAGGGAATATGGGCAATGTCCATGCGGACCATCTTGGCCTGCTGCATTAGCAAGATTTGGCAGTATAGCTTGTGGACAAAGTGATGAAATTTGCTTACCCTCCAACACATAACTGGGAACCAACAGGACCTTTGGGTTCCCTGAGCCTGCTGGCTGAACTGACGGGCAGAAGCCCCAGGAAGGGGAACTGCTTGTCAACCATGTCAGCTAATGCCTGCCAGACGTGTGACAGTTGCAAGACCAGCTGATGAGGTTGCCATGCTGCTGACCCACGCACCAGCAGTGGTCACGCAGGCAGGGAAATGGGCTCAGATTTTGAGTTCTCCATATTCCTGGCTGTTTCTGGCATGCCCGACATACTGACAATTCTGCTTACTTTTACAGGAGATGCCAAAGCCCTGCTCTGTACTGAAGCAGGTAGTATGTGCTTGAAGATATCTTTGCAAACCTCAGGTTCCTTTAAAACACACTCCTTTTAGAGATGTTCACCTCTAATGGCCAAAACCATCTTTGCCAGGGCATAGCTAACACTAGATTTCCCCAGCCTCTATTCATATGAATTAATTAAAACACAAAAGATAAACTTCAGTTCTTTCAGAGGGAAGATTGCTTTCAAAACTGGGCCGGACCACTTTCCTAGCAAGCATTTTCTTGCCATGTCTTCCACTAGCCTGATTGCATGAATTGCGATTGCTACCTACAGCAAAAAAAACCATAAAAATCCTGAATCCACAGCTATACGCTAAAGTAGTCACTAGATGTAAGTGTAACTAAATAGAATCACAGAATCATAGAATGGTTTGAGTCGGAAGGGACCTTTAAAGGGCATCTAGTCCAACCCCCCTGCAATGAGCAGGGACATCTTCAACCAGAGCAGGTTGCTCACAGCCCCGTCCAACCTGGCCTTGAATGTTTCCAGAGGTGGGGCATCTACCACCTCTCTGGGCAACCTGTTACAGTGTTTCACCACCCTCATCGTAAAACATTTCTTCCTTATATCTAGTCTGAATCTACCCTCTTTTAGTTTAAAACCATTACCCCTTGTCCTATCGCTACAGGCCCTATTAAAAAGTCTGTCCCCAGTACTCAGCTATTGCTGTCAAAAATCACAATCAGTGAGTGTGGGTGTTAAGCTAACAAAATAGCACAATCAGTATAGCGGAGTATAGCAAGATTACTTGCTTGAAAAATGCTATCTTTTTAAAAGGTGTTTATTTCACCTGGGGGAGCAGTCCTTACTTTTCTTTTTGCAAAATCAGAATGTTTCACCGCTGGTAAATGCAGATTTCTTTCAAGACTGTTCAAGGCAAAGGTGTTACAAAGTTGGCGAGTGGAGCACTAACAGCAGCCTGGCAATGGAAACACCAACCCGCAGCGCTCTTCAACACCACTTGGAAAATGGGCTTCAGCTGGGGGTTCATGTTCAACTACCTGCACTACATTCTTCAGCTATCTGACAGTCACAGAGACCACATCCTCCCCTCCCTTTCTTCCATTCCCATTCCCTCCTTATCTGACAAGACCATTGTAAGGCAGCAAAGTACATTCCTCTGGATAAAAAGGCAACATACTCAGTGGAACTCCTCCTTGCCCATTTTCTTCCTGCTGTATGACAAGTCCATTGCTAGTGTACCTTTCTACAATGGGTCGGGTTCTTTCAGCAATTTTTGTTGCAACAGACGTCTCGTGCACACATGTGGATGTGAGTCAGCCAGCTGTGCAGCATGGTTGGGAGCAGGCCAGCCTCGTGCAACATCGCAGATGCACGAGGGGAAAAATAAGCCAATCCTCAGCTACCATTTGTTGTATTTGCAGTCTTTCTGAGAAGCTGGGATAGTCTGGTAAACTGCCTTGCCAGAATGGTGTGATTAGACAGTCATGAAGAGCTCAAGCGTGTGTCCACCAACCAAGGCAAAAAAAAAATATGTCTGATCTTATTTAAGTGGTTCACCATGAGCTTCCTCCCATGCTTTTTTTTTTTTAAACCTCTTCTGAAACATAACTCTCCAAATTTCTTTCCTCTTAGGCTGCACAGGGAGGTTAACATCACTACTGTAAGAATAAATTAGTGTTCCATTTGTACAAACCAGAGTCATACCAAAAACACTAGACACATTTTATGTTCTCCTTTATATACAGCTTACATTCTGGAAAAGTGTCATCCACAGGTCTGCAGTAAAATTACCAGTACCTTAGCAATAGGCCAGCAACATTTGAAAACATTTTCGTCTGTCTTTTGCCCTAAAGACCCATCAATTAACATTCAAACTGTCAGAGTTAGAGAAGACCAGGGGAACATCTGTGTTAGTCAGAGGGAAATCTCTGGTCAGAGAATGACATGCAGCCTGCAAGTCTATTCCACACACTCCTGTTATTACCCAGTGGCTTTAAGGGCTCTTTACAAATGTGCTCAAAAAAGCTACAAATTCTTTCCATAAGAAAAATCCCAGTATCTCTGTTCCAAAGTTTTGTTTGGGCTGCAGCTAGAAATCCTCAGAGAGGCCTCCCTGAACATCCCTTTAAGATCACTCTGCAACTCAATGCATGGCTTTGCTCTCAGGAATTTCTGTTGATAGTCTACATCTTAGGTGAAGAGAGGGACTTCTCGTATCACCTGTGCTGCACAAGGTCCTGGCCTCTGAGGCCAAGTGCAGGAACTGGCTCTGAGAGGTTGCTATCAGATCAGGGTGACAAGCGATGTCCAATTCAAGTGAGCTGACATTCAAAGCTTTGTAAATGACAATCGCTGACCCCTGTCATCTTGCGAGCGATTTACCCAAGTTGTACACAGTTAGAGTTGCTCTCTAGTTCATTAAGCTTTTTGAGCCTTACATTTCTGAAACCACAATATTAATTTAAAATGAACACAACATCCCTAAGTCCAATAAAAAGGTCTGCTATAAAACCACATGTGCTTTCCTCTCCACATCCTGGGTCTCCTTTCATATCACTGCTCCCAGATGTTCTTCTCTCCCTTGAATTCTACACACTGTTTTCAAAGCTACATTTTTTTTCCGCCCGCTGTTACTCATCTCTCCAAACCATGACCTGAGATCCAGCAAGTTTTCTACATCTACAAAGCTTTTGCCCCACTAAACTCTCAAGGACAAGTTACCCAAAGACTTCAGAAAACTTAGAATGCCTGTAGGTACACTGGACCAACAATCGTAGCAAAACCAGCTCCTGCATTGAATCTATGTTATATAAAAATCTATATTTGATATACTGAACATCTATATAACCATATATGACAACGAAAAGTTAAAGCATGTTATTATGGGCATTGCCCAAGTGACAGGCTTGGGGCATTGACCACCTCTCTAGGAAGCCTGTTCCAGTGTTTGACCACCCTCTTGGCAAAGAAATGTTTCCTAATATCTAATCTTATATTTATTTATATAGCAATAGTTACATAAAACATTTATATAATATTCTTACAGTGATTTTTTGGTATAAATCACTAATGTTTTGTTACATCTTTCAAAGCTTTCTCATCTTCCCTCATGAATTGTAACAAGTTAGTTTAATAGAGTACAACAGTCTGCAACTGCTAATGCATATTGAAAACCCTGAAAGGTCGGTGAAACAATAACCTATCAGAAATGCCTTCATTACCTATTAGTAACATGAACTACACCTTGCAGAAGCACGATTCTTACTCTGTTTTCTTATATGCCTCCCTGGACATCTGATGCTGGCAACTGTCTGAGGTGAAACACTGGGCTCCAGGCACCTTGGATCCAGGCTTTGACACATAAATTGCTCTGGGGTTTCTCTCTACAGATTTCATTTATGACATGGGATAACTCGGTGTATTTTGAAACAATCATCTCTGTTCATAAATCAGATACTAGTACCTGAAACATCATTTGATTAGATTTCATTTATTTCACAGTAATCTACATAAGAATTTGAAACCAACAATAGTCCCTTGAGGTTAAGAGAAGTTTGACCAATTGACCTAACTTGAGAAGTAAAAATGACACATTTATTAACATCGAAGGAATCTCACAAGCACAAACTCACAAACTTATATTTACACTTTCAACTCACAGCCACTCGAATTGAAAGCAGCCTTTCCACAAAGGAAAGTGGCTGCGTACCACTGCCATCCAAGCAGGTCACCAGCAGTATCTAAGAGTTAAGCTTAACTTCACATATTTCCTTTGAAACCTCTTTTATCTATTCCCTCCTTTCAAGTAACCTTATTTACTCAGACCAAAACTTATTTGAAAATTAAATTCTTTTTTAATGCAAAAAAACTCAGGATGAAGTTGCCCAGCATGAGTTTCAGACAGAGAGAGAAATAAATCCCATTAATTTTGAGCATATTTCTTAAAATTTACCTGAGCAGAGAAGTCGATTAGCTTTGGAAGCAACAATTTACTTCCTTCATCACTCTTCAGAAAATCCAGCAAACTTCCTGTTACAACAGAGAAAGATTAAGTCAGTGCAGCTTATTACCAAAATAAAGGTCACGCCAGGTCCCCAATTTTCTGGATCACAAAATTTTTGCAGTGAAGTGTTCTGATGTATTTTCAAGCTGACTACAGCAAGGCAGTCTCTTTAAATGATTTAACACCAGTAACATCCAAGTCAGCATGTCAGGCATCCAAGTTTTGCCATTTTCCTGGGTGCAGAAAACCCCCATCAGACCATACCTTGTTGAGTTTGATAAGCACCCTAGCCTAGTCTACGGACTACCAGGAAAGCCGCCTAGGAGAATCACACATATCAATCCTTTCCAAGTCATAAAGAATAAGTGGCTCAACACTTGTTTATGAAGTTATCCGCAGAATTGCTTGAAAACAGAACAAAACAAGAAAAACTACCACCCAAGACAATCTGAGAAGGAAACCTCGCTCATTTTGTGTAGTAATGCTCTAATAAGGGTTGTCTTTTTCTAGTAGTGCAGCCATCCTTGCAGGACCACTCATCACTCACGTTATTACACATGGATTTATCAATTCAAGGGCCACATAAGGCAATTTCTAAGGTTTGTTTTAATTGCCTTGCTATGACACCAGACACAAAAAGTTAGGTAGAGAGCCTAAAGGAACCAGAGCTATTTTGGGGGTTATGCTCTGCATCCGAAACAATTAAAAACACTACATTTAAGAACACTGTAAAAATAGTTTATTTCACAAATGCAGCAATGAATCATAAAATTAAAGCCTCAGCCCTCCTCTAGGATAGGTGCTTCTTCACTTTATATCAGAGCATTCAAAAGAATAATGCTAAAATCCCAAGTTTTCCTTTTTTATTCCTTCCTTCTTAAAGAAAGGGGACTGGTTTATGAGAAGCAGAAGAGTTTACTAAAACATTGTTTGCAGACCCAATGTTGTTCTCACCTTTAGCCATGAATTCTGTTATAATATAAATAGGTTCTTCTTTGGTCACTACAGCATAAAGCCTAACGAGCTTATCATGCTGAAGTGTTTTCATGAGGTTGGCTTCCTCCAGAAAGGCTTGCACAGACATTGTTCCAGGCTTCAGAGTCTTCACAGCCACTTTCGTGCTGTTATGATAGTAACCTAAAAGGAGGGAATACGATCAGTGCACTTGAAGTCACTCTGTGCCGGAAAGTAGGAATTTGTAAAGCAGGTGAAGTTGGATTCCAGTAATAGCTAAGAGCCTGAGAGCAAATGCCAGATGTAGCACAAATATTTATGCTAGAATTCCTTTTTATTTTGCAACTGATACAACACTGCAGTGAAAAATAATCGATTCCCTATTTTAAGAAATCACTTATCTGAAAAAAAAAAAGCAAGCAAATTATCTTACTTCATATCAAGTTCTCATTTACAAGTAGCCCATAAAATATTCAAACAGTCAAGAGATGTTTTAATGAATGTCCACATAAATTGTCTCAGACTCCAATAGAGTCCATGGATTGCTTGCAAGATTCTGGAGCATCTTTAAATACTGTGATTATAACCATTTTATGCATGCCAGTCTCATGCTTATAATCCTTTCTGTAACCCTCAGTGCTCAAAACAGAGCATTACAGGAAAGTGCAATCAAATGAGGATTCTCATGACCAACAAAGATACGCTGCCAGGACTGCAATCCTCCAGTGTTCACAGCAAGATTTACAATGTGATAACTTCTTATCACATAGCCCATGCCAAGAGTGGAAGAGACTGGCTGTTTCATTTCTCTGTTTATCAAACCTTCTAATGTAATATTCTAATTATATACAAAGCAACCATCAGTAAGGAGAAAAGCAGTGAATTACTTCCTGCTTTAATGTTTTCCAAACATAAAATAAATGCAAAATAGCATTAAAAAAAAATAGAGTAGTAAGCACTGATCCTAAAGGTTATCTTGTGAAGGCATTTAATTTGAAAAATAAAAGAAATAAGAAATACAATAAAAAAAAAAGAGAGAGAGAAAGAGGGGGGGATATAAATGCAACTCTTGTCCCCCACCATACCCACTTCAACATTGCAAAAGTATTTCTCCGAAGAGGTAGAACTTTCGTGACTCAATGAACTAGCCTCATTTCCTTATTCAGCAACAGTCCAGACAGTATTACCACAATGGATACACCTCTAAATTGGAGCCCACAATTTCCTTGTACTGTTTATCATCCTAACTTAAGAAATCAGTGGCAAAGCAAGGAACGAGTTTCCAGATCTTAAAGGATTGTTCCAACCACTGCATCTTCTCTCACCTTTTTTAAAAGAAAGATCATCACCTGAGAAAAGCCACTATGTCTATCACAAAATATTCACCTGCATGATTATTAAATATATTTTTTCCAAACATGGTCAGGTCAAAGCTTAACAAAAGATATGCCTCTAAATGATCTAATAATAAGAAACAACAACTACCGGTCAAATCTGCTGTTAAAGCTCAGGTAATACAATTTATATCTATCAGAAAAACAGATGTTAAATATTATACAAAATATTCTGCTTAAGAAGCAGAAAGCTTATTTGTATTTGTATGTGCTTATCTAAAGCAGAGCACTAGTTCCATTCCCAATTTATTGAATACTCAACCGAACATACTAATTAATATCATTATTTCTGTGAAGCAATTGTGACCAACACACTTCATAGTAACGATGTAACAGTATTTTACATTCACTGAAGAGATCCATCAAATTAGGGTTCTGCTTACAGAAAGTTTGTATTACTACACCACCTCACCCATACTGACGTTTTCTGTGGGAAAATGGTCTTCCTTGACCCTCTGGTGGTAACACACAAAGCAAGTTAGAGATAATTGAGCCTGATCTCTCTCATGTTCATTTATTGGGAGGGATGGGACACCAAAACACTGAGGAAAGGTAGTCATGAATTCTATGAGCACACACAACAGTTTGGAAAAACTGGAATTTGTCACCTCTCTTGGCCACCCATTACCAGCAAAACCAGCTTTAGTTTGATTTGGGCTGAGGACCACATCAGACCTGGAGCAGGCAGCATCTTTTTAGTATGCGTTTGTACCACCCCAGTTTAACGAAGTCCTAGTCTTCATGTCAGGTCACTTATCGTTCCTGTGAGAACCTCTGTGGTAGTTTCCAAAGCTCATCTGCTTTGCAGGCACATTCTTACTGTACAGGTAAGAAACTGCAGCCTTTTTGCAGGTGGAGGGAAAATTGGTGACCTCAAAGTGCTTCAGCTGGTGCCAGCAAATGTAATGTTCAGTCTGCATCACAGAAGGATTCCAGTGACGCACAGGGAGCTGTGGGGAGGGGTGGCTACAGCACTGCATCACCCCTGCTTCGTACAGTACCGGCAGCTCTGAAACCATCTACCAACATCTGCCTTGGCTGAACTGAACCTGGCTCCAGGTGTAAACCCAGCACTTGCTGTGCCTCGGTATTCCTTACCGTACAATACGAATGAACATATGGTCAGTTTGCTGCCTAAACACAAATTCAAAAAGACGGGTAAGCAATGAAATTCTTGCTTACATCTAGAACACTCTACCTAAAATTCAGATTCTTTGCAACTAACATTCAGCTCAGGTATGTACTGTAAAAATCCATTTCTGATACTGATGAGATGTACCAGAAAGTTTTCTTAGTTCATTTTAGATGCCTTTTATTTTAATAACAGTATTTCTGCGGTATGATTTCCTCTGATTTTTCTAACAGCTGCATAAGAAAATACACATCCAACATCTGTATTATTTATATTTAGTTTGGGGGTTACCAAATAAGAGAATCTTTTGCACCTGAGATGCAAGCAAAATGTGTCTCATTAATAAAATACACTATAATGGCTCCATTTGGCTTGTTAACTTTTCTCTTAGCTCTGCTTGAGAATTCTCTTCATGGATTATTAATACCACAGAACATTACGGTTCACATCATATCAGTGCACACTAGGGACAAAAATGCATAAAACATAGACCCTGCTCTTGCAGTGCTACTCTGGTTCATCACATCACTAAAGAAGCTGCCCAGATGCATTGAACTCCATGGTCAAAAAACCTTTCATACCATGGCAGGAAGCAAGTCTCTCTGCAGTTTAGACCTGTTAAAAATTAAACGTGATGCAAGCAATAGTACGCAAGTCTGAGGAATGTGATGATGTCTTACACAGAGAGCCATGTTCTTCTCTACATGTTAGAATAGAATCCTCCAAAAATTGTTAGTGTTTCAGGTATTTATTTTGGAGTTGATTATGATTATTTTCACAGAGCAGTATCTTGGACAGCCAGGTTGCCCCCAGATTCTTGCATGGGCTTAATCAGGCTAAGCTGCGATATGAATTTATAACAGACAATAATGAGGCTGAGCCTACCATTTCTGACCAGATCTCCAGGACTGAAGATGAACAACTTTGTGAACAAGCCTACAAGATGCAGCTTTCTCCTTCCTCTGCTTTCACAGTAATTCCCTGCAAGGTCATACTGGGAACAACTGGTTTGAGCTACAGAGATATGACACTGTTAGAAGCCAGATAATATCTCAGGCCATTATCACTGCAGGAGGTACTGGGGAAGAGACTGAAGAACAGCAGCTTCTCTGCATCCTATTGCCTGTCAGCACATCGCTCCTCCTTCACCAACTACAGCCATCACTCAGCTGAAGAGCAGAGGAATGCAAGAATAGCTCCATCTCCAGCTTACTTCCATACAGCCCATTAAATGTGAAGGCAGAAAGCACAGGCTGCAGCTTTCTAACCACTTCCACGGTGCGGTGCATAAGATGTGAACACAACTCTGCCATGCTGTTTTCATCTCTCATGTCAGCAGAGCTGGTGCCCAAAACACACACATAAACACTAACTTGGTAGTCTAAAACCAGAAAGTCTTTATACAGTGTATAAAATCACACACAGCTGTAATGAAGAAAGAAATTAAATGCACTTGCAGTGATAGACAAAACTGGGAAATAATGGTCCTTTATAGCAAGTTTTCTTTATGTAACAGAAACTCTTCAGAGTTGGAAGAGATTCACCTTCCTGCTTCGTAAAGCGACAAAGATTCTCTGCACAGGTCACACAGGAGCACAGCTGAGTGCTTGGGGGATATGGCGGCCTGCTTTTTGTTCCTAGGGTTTTCTTAGTCCCCCCATAACATAAGCTAACTCCCTCCAAAATGTGCAAGAGGAAGATGTCAACTTGGAAGCCCAAAGAATATACTTATGGACAAACTAAAAAGAAAAGACTATAAAAGACATGCTGGTGTATCTTCACATTCCAGTAACAGTATTATCTCTGTCTTCCCATATATCACAGAATCACAGAAGGACTGAGGTTGGAAGGGACCTCTGGAGGGCATCTGGTCCAACACCCCTGATTGAGCAGGGTCCCGTAGAGCCGGTTGCCCAGGACTGTGTCCAGTAGGCTTTTGAATATCTCCAAGGATGGAGACTCCACAACCTCTCTAGGCAACCTATGCCAGTGCTGGGTGACTCACACTGTGAAAAAGGGTTCTCTGATGCTCAGAGGGAACCTCCTGTGCTTCAGTTTGTGCCCATCGCCTCTGTGGTCCTGTCACTGAGCACCACTGAGAAGAGCCTAGCTCCATCTTCTTTGCACCCTCCTATGTATTTACATACATTGATGAGATCCCCCCGAGCCTTCTCCTCTGCAGGCTGAAGAGTCCCGGCTCTCTCAGCCTTTCCTCATAGAAGAGATGCTCCAGTCCCTTAACCATCTTTGTGGCCCTTTGCTGGACTCTCTCCAGTAGCTCTGTATCTCTCTTTACTGGGGAGCCCAGTTCCTCTGAATGTGACACTGTTCCCTCTGAAACCACAATTCTAAGTACCCTTTATCAAGAAGAAATTTGCCTAGTAATTAAACCATGGAACAATATTTCTCTCTAATTCACACTATAGCTGAAAAATAATTTTGTTCTATATGAGGAGAGAGCGTAACAACTAGCTCTCTAATCAGGAGAGCGTAACAACTAGGCTATTTCTCAGTACCTCTACGTAACTCCTGATGCCCCTGGTTGCTCATTACAACACACCATGTTTGTTGATACCCTGCACCACACAGCTGACCTAATGCGTCTTTTCCAGGTTGAACTTCCTTGGTTCTAAGATTAACCACGCTCCTGACTCGAGAGGACCTGCGCCATGCAAATCAGCTTCTCTCGCTTCAGAAAGGAAGCGGAGAAGAGGAAACACAGCGATCGCTTTCACAGTACATTAATTTTTCTCACAGGGCAGCAATTCAGATGCAGGGGTTAGGCCCGATGTTAAAATAATGACACGAACAAGAGGAAACATCTTGAACCAGAAACACCCTTTTAAAGTCTTACGCCTTGTCTGTGTATGTGCAGAAGTAGTCACTTCCCAAAACGATCTACGTTTTCAAGCAGGTGATTACCTTCTGCCATAAAGTCTTTCATAGTGTTTCAGTGTCAGTTAAACATTTCTTGCCTTGGTTTATTAGGCAGAAAAAAACCTGCACAATGGCTGACGCTTGTCTTAACTAGTGTGTAAATTGTCACTCATGTATATCATAGCTAGAGGGTTTCTTTAGCCTTTTCTCATGAAGGCAGATAAAAGGCTGAATTTGGCTATATTATACTACAGACATGCGCTGCTTGCATTTTTTACATGATTGCACCTATGACTGAATTAGAGCTTTCTGATTGACACTGTAGTTGTGTCTGGAATTTGCCACTCAAACAGCAGCACTCTATGCTTTACTTTTCTAAATGAGAGCATCTCTTTAAAGCAATGGCATTCCCACCAGCCTGCCACACTCCTGTGGGTCATCAGAGACCCCCTCACAGCTTTGCGTCTTCTAATAAGTTTTGGGATACGCTTTTAAGTTGCTCAGAAATTCCGTGCCTCTAGAATCTTGTTAAAACAAACAAACAAACAAAAAACCCAAACCAAAACTTGTTCTATTATTACAATAACAATTTTATTACTATTTAAATATAGTCTCCAAAAAGGAGATTCAGAGAAGGGTTGAGACAATGATCTGGCCTGAAAAAGCACTATAATGAAGGCTTAGGGAAAAAAGTATAGTTTACCTTAAATAAGATGGCAACCAGTAACGAGTGTGTAAGTAATGAATAGCACACTGAACACGCAATATGGAACACCCAAAAGAATACTCAGATCCCTGAACAGACAGCATTTCAAAAGCAATAGGATTAAATATGTTTGCAGAATGTGATTAGACAGTGGTCATAGCCCCTTGCCACGGGAAGTCACTGAGGCTGAGAAAATAAGATCGTTTATATGCAAAGCTAATTATGGTTGTAATAATTAACGCTATCATTTTTTGCTGGGTATATATTAACATTTACAACTTGTAAGTGTTGTGACACTTTCATGATTGGGCACCTGCATGGTAGTTTAAGGCAGGCGGTGATCGATCTCTAATCTTCTTACTATGTAAGTCACCTACTTTCTCAGCAGCAATCTTGGATTAAATGTCCCCGTTTTTCACCCAGTACGGTAGTCCCACACATTATATTGCAGCCCCTTCTTTACCAAAAGACAATGAAAACTCTATACATAATTCACTAAAAGACGTGATTTCTTTCTATTTTAGGTTCTTTACCACTTTCTGATTTGAAACAAAGTTCCGAGATGCCCACTGATTTTGAGAATCAGGAGTCACATCTTCCTATAACCTTCTATTTCCCCCACAAAACTCAAGCAAAAAAAAAACAAACCTATTGTCGTCAACCCTCTAAATTACAGTGCTTACTCACTGGTTGTTTTTTTTTTTTTTCCTTTAAAAGACACCAAAGGATTTGTTCCATGATATATTTTCCCCCTTGCAAATCCTGTCTCCTCACGGGAAGGTATGTTCTGGGCCTGACTGGGCTGTTTTACACGTTTATCGGACCAGGTTCATGTCTACTATTACTCTGAATGACTCTGAAATGACACTTCTTTCAGCAGATTTAAATACTCTTTCCAAAGGAATAAACTTACCCATCCAGACTTCTCCAAACTGACCAGCTCCAAGTTTCTTCACTAATTTAATTGATTCCCGTGGAATTTCCCATGCGTCTTTATCCCATGGTTTTTGAGGCTTGGGACTAATACAAGCTTTTTCCAACTTTCTGCATAAGCCATCTGATTGCTCTGGTTTTCAAAGGAAAAACAAAATACAAAATCTGTTACGCTTCTGTGCCTTATGACTTGAGACAAACATTACTTAATTACAGGTGTGCACTAACCAGCTCAAAATAATTTTCGAAATAATCAGGTGTTTTGATGAAAATATAACCTTTCTGGTGCTTTCACATAACTTTAAGCACCTCTGAACTGAAATTTGGTATTCAGAAACAAATTTAATAAAGAAGCGTCACATGCATCTGGTTACCATCAGATTATTAAGTTTTTTTCATACAATTCATACCAACTAAATAAAATATAAGACCTGCTTACTGACAGTACGTTGATGAAGACACACACTGGAGTCAGGGCTGGAGCCTGTATTCTGAATTTGTCATTAAATTTTCTTGTAGCATTGTTTCAGATGCATGTGCATGCAAGCATAAGTAGGTCACCATTATTTTTTTTCTCCAGATACTGATCAGCTACAACTTTAATACAAATGTAGAATAATTCTCAGGTTTTCCAGCTGTGCCAAAGAATTTCCACACATCTAAAAACTCAGAGAAATCTCATGGCCAAGTCCTCAGCGTGGCTTTGAAAAATCACAATGTGATTTTCTGTCCTACATTTTTCGTCTTCTCTGTCTTCCCAGTTACAAGACTAAAAAACATATTTTGGAGCTATCCACAAGGAGGTTATGCAGAATGAAAAGTCACCTTTGTAGCTAAAACATAGGTAGAAACTCGTCCCCTCCCCTTCCCCTCCCCCCTTTTTGAAAATGTTAAATGTATACATTCGATGCAGGTGCAATTTTCTTTCCTTGAAGTCAGTGGACTTTTACTTCCTTCTAAAGGCTGTTCACAGTAAACAAACAAACACACAATTTTATAGGAAAAATAAAAACAATTCCACACTCAACACTGCAAGAAGACATTCACAAGTCTATACGTATTTCTGCTAACTGTGAATACAAATTTACTTTCAAATACAGAATTTATTTATTTACAGTGCAGTTAATTCTTACTGTAGTTTCATATCATCATAACTTTGATGAGGTGTTTTATAAAGCTATTCTTTATTTCACAATGGTATGCCACAGAGCAAGCAGTATTAGGTCTGCTTAAGATAACAACATTACTTGGGTTCCAACCAGTTTTACTTTATCTTTGATAACATGCATGCCTGGGTTATTTAGGGGGAAAAAAAAAAAAAAAAAAGATTAAAAGGTTCTAAACAAAACAAGAAAGTATTTATTTTCCTTTACAGGAAATAATGGCTGTATTCTATTAAATAATCCACTAACTGATTTAACTTACTTTGATAATGTTTGATCATATCATTGATGTTGGGAAAAGTTATTCTTGGAGAGATGTAAAATCCTCCATTGTCTAGACTTCTAATTTTGTAGTGCTTAATAACATCACCATGCTGTGGATCATAGTCTCTTATGGAGAGAGAATAGCTGCCTGTGGATAAAGAAAGAATGGTCATTAACAGATAGCAAAAGTCTACAGTGTCCACGCATATACAGCTGAGCCTAACAAAATCACCTTTCTGTCTGTTTTTCTTTTTACTCCCTTATTTCCTCAAAAAGCATTTTGCAATCAACATGAGGAAGTTAACCAACAGCCGGTGCTGAACTGGTCACTGAAATGCTTACAGTCACGCTTTCTTTTTCAATCATATTCAACAAAGTTAGGAGTTCCATAATCCAGACAGCTCTCCGTCCAACGCCCACTTCTGCAGAAAGTGCCCCCGGCTGGAGTGGAACCAGCTGGGAAAGGGAGGCCGGGGCTGTCACACTCCTCAGGCAGAAGCTGAAATTCGGAGATCAATGTTTCGGAAAAGGAACACGCTGGATGTCATGGGCCAACTAGCGAAAGGATAGCTTGGAGATGGCTTGAGGCACACAGGAGGGAGGGCAGATCTGTTAGTCCTAGGGAGCCTAACCTCAGCTGGGATTTAAGATGGGACAGCAGAGCGTCTATCCTAAACTACAGAGCTCTTTGTTTCTTCCACTCATACAGCTCTTGTTGTCCATTTTCAAGGCTCAGAAACCACCTCAGCCCCGTCTCTCTCCCCACACACAGATGCAGTGACAGAAAGATTTTGAGGGTACTTTGCCTTACACCCAGCAGCCTGTGTTTAATTTAGATCTCTGTCTTCATTTGAGAGCACAGAAACAGCGACACGGGCCCATTACAGAGAGCTACCTAATCAAGAATCTGCAGTGTTAGGGCCAGAGAAACCACCCCTGTGGAGAGGACAGACATACAATCTGCTGGAGGGATTCATGCATCTTCCTCTGGAGGATGCCGTGTTAGAGTATCCAGTCAGGGGGAATCCAGTCAGGCTGCTGTCAGAGTCCAGACGCTGGGGCAGAACCTCCTATACTTTTCTGAAAGTCCCAGCCAAAGAGTCTGGAGACTTCACTAAGCTTTTCAGTACAAAAAGCTCTGTCTACAGCAGAAACCTTTACCAAAAAGCTTTCAGAAAAAAAATCATGCTACAGCGCAGAAGTGTAAACCCTCATTATGCACTAAGTACATTTTAAAACTTGTAGCAATGGATACAGACCCAATAATGGAAGACTATAAAATGCAGCATGTACTGTTTACAGTGAAAAGTGTCTTTCAATAAAGGAATATCAAACATTAGGACGGGAAAAAAATCTCTCCATTCATGTCAGTGTAATCACACACACGTGTTTCCCACCCCCCCCACCCCCCATCTCAACTTTGGGTGTAAACCTGTAAGTCTCTTCTCTCTTTTCCTGGTGATTTTCTCATCCTTCTCACTCCTACAGAACTGCAGAAAATTCACAAAGTAGGACACACTAGGACTACTCCACACCCAGTGCCACTTGATGCCAATTTTTGTGAAGACAGACTGTATGTTTTTAACCCTACTATCCATTCCAAAGTAACCCACCCCAAAGCCTACCTTTTAATGTTTCACTTTCCCTGATAAGGAAAGCTCCAGGACTATTACCAGGAGCCAGGAGTTGTCTTTCGGCATCTTTTCGGGTTATGTCTTTGAAGAACCATCTGAAAAATATTTCCAAGAGTTAGAACCCTTTCTTTCCTCCACCCGCAAAGGATACACCACGAGGGTGAAGAAATTTGCCAGTATTTAGAGCCTGGGAGAACTTACTCTTCTGTTTCCAAGGTGTTCACTTTTGCTACATAGTTGCTGGGAATGAAGCCTTCCTTCCTTGTCGTGAGAGATTTTGCTTTCCACCATTCTCCCAGCCTGAAAAACACAAACAACAGTAGTACACACAGGAAAGGAAAATTATAAAGTGTTACTTGGGTTCTACTGTGCCGAGAGCTTTGCCCGTGCTGGAGAGAGAAGCAGCATCTTTTCTCTGAACTCAAGCCCCCGGAGGAGCCATTGGCTCCGCAGGATCAATGTTTGGTTACCAAGGGCAGCTGCCAAGTCCTACCAACAGCTCCATGTGCATTTGTATTTTCGCATATAAGGCAGCTCTCTTACCATAAATACACTCATGTTATGAGTAGGATATAAAAAAATTATAAAGGGAATTAGATGAGTCCAAAGAAAAACTACAATACAATCAGTACTGTCATACTTACTCCTCAATAACTTTCAATTTTTCTCCTTTTTTGAAGGACAAATCGTCTTCATGAATGCCATCATAGGGATACAAAGCTACCACAATGACTCCATGCTCCTCTGTTTCTACAAAGACAGAAAGCCAAAGGCACATTCACATTATTTTGCAGGCTGACATGGGCATAGCACACAGCAGTAAGATTCCTATGAAAACATACCTTCATTGATAAACCTCTGTCCTGGTAAAAGCTGTTCTCCTGGATTTGCCTACAATAAAATATGTCCTTAATTAAGCAGTTTTAGATCTTTGTGACAATCCTACATTACAATTACACATTATTCAGTTGCTTTGGTATCATCTTATATGTCTTAAATTAAAAGGAAATGCTCCAATCTTTTCCCACCATTTTTCAAAAGTGAATTACAACATAAAAGTATAATAAGTCCCCACTAGATTTTGCATTGAGCAGCTCAGACCTCAGGAAGGCGTGACATAAGCTCTGGGGAAGAAGTTCACAGCTTTGTGACTTCTGCTGAAGAGGCTTTAGCCAGGGCACTTTAACAGGACAGTTATTAACATGCAGCTGTCTTGCTTAAGAACTACAAGCACGGTTATGTTGCTAAGATTGTGCACGGAAAAAAAAAAAAAGAGTAATTAAAAGAAAATAACGGTAGCTTGTGATGCGTGCACGTTGACTGAGAGCACGCTGAGTCCACTGTGTCAGGCGGTGAGAGGGGAGAGGAGGGTGTCATTCACACCCGCAGAGAGCGCGGCTCCCGAACAAGGGCAGGCAGGAAACACAGTTTCCTCAGCACGGTAGAGAGGGTGGGGAAAGAAGGTACCAGTCAATCTGCAAAATAGCAAACCCACTTGGTACCCCACAGGATTCCCCTTCCCAGCACCCTTCCTTTCCAATGCCAGGCAGCACACAGGGAACTGCCATTAGCTTGTTCCTCCTGCAGCAGAGCGCTGCTCCCTTCACCACTGCACCCTCTGCTCCCCTCCCATCCTTACCTACGCAGCTTGTGCAAGGTCGAGTAGTGGCCTTCAGTGAGTAAAAGGAAAGCTGACTACAGCTGATACAGAATCACCCATGATTACCTTAGCCTTTTTAAATCGAATAATCAACACCTGGATCCCATAGCTATGAAAAAAAACCCAACACCGATGCTTTTAAAAATGGTTCTAAACTACAGTTTTTCTGAAGTCACCTATCATTCTTCTACAGGTGTAGCTATATCTAGATCAAGCGTTGCCAAGGATTACTGTTTTCATGCAGAAAACTATGACAAACATAAAGTAATTAAGTAACAAACCAACAATTTTTTTTTTTTTTATTTCTTTAAGTACTTATTCGTTGAGGGTGAACTGCACAACATTAAAAGCCCAATTGTGGACTAATGATCATTTGAATTTCTTCATGCATGTGCTTTGGATTGAAATTTAAGTTATGCCAGTCATGCTTTGATCTAGCTACTGGAATTCTCCCCTGAGACTATCTACTTACTGGCCTTTGCTGTTTATTGGACGTTGGATCCCTCACATAAATAGTTCGTTCAGTTTTACGTACTGGTTGATTCTTCAAATCTAGCCCATCTCCATGCAGATTCTCTTTCCTTTTTGATTTTATACATCCCATATTTCCTGTTGGAATAAAAAAGGTATTAAACAAAAACATTATGCTATAAACCAAGCTGTTTCCCATGCAATCATCTGGGCTATGCAGCAAAAACGTGCTTCCTTTTCATACACAATAGTTCATGGGGAAAACAACTGAAGGTTAGGAACACACGCTGAAAGCTCTCTTCTGCTGCAAAGGAAAGAAATTACTTCTTGTCTCAATCCACAGATGAAGTAAATATTTCAAAATAGTTATTTACCATTTTAACATTTTCAGATTTATCATCTTTTCTCCCCAATCTGCCCCCCCCCCCAACCCCTTATATCTTTCTGATACTTCTGTGAGCTTCAGAATAGATAGAAGAAAAATATAATTACTGTAGTGACAACTTATTTCTGTATGTTCTAGAGAAAAGGCTGCTTTGGAAGATGTAGGAAAAAATTCCGGTCCAAGTGATGAGAACTGCAGCTGGAGTTAGCAATGCCTGTATCTCCCCACTTCATTTTGCGTATGCCAGTCTAGCAGGGAGCTCCGTTTGATTCAAATCCCCGTCTCACATGAGCCTGATGACTTGTGCAGTCCCACCTCCATGGCAGATACGTTGCTACTGTGACCTTCAGTAATGAATCTCCTTGTTCAAACAGGCCTGTTACAGCAGTCTAAAATAGCCGATGTGTGTATCAGTGACGGCAAATCACCACACAAGTATTTCTTCTTCAATACAGTTTAGAAGGATAATCCTTCTCTCAGGATGTGCATCCATGCTAAATCAGATGAGATACAGCTGTTAGCATCTGCATGACTGAGACCTGACTACTAATCCCATGATGTAATTATATAGTACCTCAGCAAGCTTATATACAACATTATCTCTATATTCCTCCCTCAGAGGAGAATAATTATACTTACTCTTCAAAGAATTCACTATGAATGCTTTTCAAACCCCTCCTTCCTTCCTCTCTCCCTCCTTTCAGGTCAGTGCTCTAATGCTAGGTTCACAGTCACATTTTCCCTTGCAGGCACACACTCTCACTCCCCCCCCCC